TATATTTACTGAGAAAAATGGTGACATGTTCAGTACTTATTTTACCCGCTGTATATTAGGGGTACAACGATACAGAAAATTCACAGTTCGGTTCGATACTTTAGTCTCACGGTTCGATATTTTTTTGATACAAAAAGAGAAATGTCAATGCCCCTTTTAACTTGTAATTAATTTAAATTGATTATGAACATGTTTAAACTCAAAAGTACAGTTTTTAAATTAAATGTTGCTGAAACAACAAGTTTCTCAGTGGATCTGAGCTCAAAAATACAGCCTAGGTGGAGTAGTCGAACACAGATCCACTGATCCTTCAACACAGAGCGTCTTCAGAAGACAAGTTGATAAAATAAATTTATAATATCTGTATTGTTCCACACAAGTGTGTGTTGAACCTAAAACACTGTTTGATACGGTTCGATACGGGTACATGTATTGTTGCCCCCCAAATATATATATATATATTATAGCTAGCTGGATGGAGCTGATACAAAGGTAGYACAGACCTTAATTTCTAAAAGAAAAATTGCTATTTTAAGTAATTAGCCTATGATAACGATGCTAACACTAACAACAAGTTAACCCCTGTTATTTCTATGTGCTTGGATCTACTTGTAAATAATTTATTTAGCTTCTGTAAACACAAATCCCAGTTACTGTCCAATAAAATATCTGAAAGTAGGATTTAAACGATTCAAAACTGTTAGAAAGTTGTTGTGGCAAAACATTGTTTCCACACCTCCTGTTTTTAGCCGTCGATTGTTGATCCACTTTTTTCTGACACACTACTTTCAGAACACATTTTTTAAAAWCTTTCTCCTGATTGKAGCGGCTGCARCAACCATACACGGCACAGAATTTATGCATTTAAATGCTGACTCAACAGAAGGAAACAGCACTGCGTTTACTTCCTGCCATGACGTCGATGCTACGTCATCTGAGGCCCAGCAATAATAATCAGTAAAGACTTCTAACTGGTTTCCAACGTCAGGTCTTTTGAAGGGTGAGCCCATCGACAGAAAGGCTGCTCGTTGTATCCTGYCTCATATCTGCTCCAAAGTTTATTCTACCAACCGGTGAGAAACGTCCAGACTCAGGGTGGGACTTCCTGATTCCRTCTTGGTTTTATTTTACTCACAAACACACACTATCTGATGGAAATGTTTCCTTGGTTCAGATTTGATGTGGCCTGAGTGACCCGGGTCCTGACAGGTGGTTTTGGGGTTAGGACTCTGATTGTATGCTTGCTGTGAGTTTCAGTGTGTTAGCTGTATTTTTCTCTCTGACTAACTGCGATCCTCTCTGTTCTGTTCTGCTCTCTCTGAAGCGGACCTGTCAGACTAACACGGTAACGTCTCGTTTCTCTCAGTTCTCTTCTGTCGTATCTAGAGACCAGTGGTGGGCACTAGTCCCCTAAAGCGCAACTGCGCCAATTGTGGACCTAAATTTTTCCTTTGCGCTTTAGGGGTTGTACTAATTTCCTTACATGATGTGCGGATTTGTGCTTTCTAAATTTAGAAATGAGTAGCGCTAATCGCAAATAATATTTCACATTTGATCGTCGATTCCGTCTAAAGTAAAGGAAAAGTACCGTCTAAACTCACTAAGTTTTGTAGCCACATCATTCATTAAAACTTCGTCATCATTTTCTTGGACATTGGTCTCTTCTTAACACAATGGAGCTGCGTAGCAGAAAGCAGTTGGAGCTACTTCACTGGGCGACAATCCAGCTGCGGTTCTGATTTGCAGAACCACACTGAGCTGTGCAGTTTGTTCCTCCTCTCCGAGGGACACCCCCGCAATAAATATTAAACAAATAAAAAAGAAAGCAACACGGAACAGCTTAAATTCACGCTCTTACTTTGAAAAAAAATGGGTTCCTGTTCTGTGTCCTGTAGGCTACCCAGAATGCATCGCTTCAGTTTTATAATAAACAGTTTAAAATTACTAATATATCTGCATGTTTTCTTACCGAAGCCCTACCATAAATGTAAGAAAATGACCAAGAAGCAGTAGAACTATCAATCCACAACTATTTTTAACATCATGATTTAAAAGCCTGTTTCTACAAATCACCTCCCCAAACTGCGATGACATGTGCCAAACTGTGAAAGAAAATATTTCCACTAGATGGCAGTAAAGTGCTGACTTTTCTCTTACCTGGATGTTGTCTGGTAAACAGAGATAATCTTGCGTTTTAAATTTAGCTTCCTCTAAGTTTTATTGAGCATATTTGCTTTTGAACTTGCGGACCTAAATAAACCGACTAGCACTTTAAAAATTGCGGAACTAAAATTTGAATTAGCGCTGCCCACCACTGCTAGAGGCCAGTTCTTGGTGAAGCTTTAAGATCTGAGAAATCCTGATTGTATTGAATGTTAACGAGTCAGCTGATGGACAAAGTGAACGTCCAGCTTTAATCTGAACCAGCCGTTTGCTTCCTGTCCGCAGGCGAGCGGCCCTTCAAGTGCGACAGCTGCAACTACCTGGCGGCCAATCAGCATGAGGTGACGCGCCACACCCGGCAGGTCCACAATGGGCCCAAGCCCCTTGCCTGTCCGTACTGCGAGTACAAAACGGCGGACCGCAGCAACTTCAAGAAGCACGTGGAGCTCCACCTGAACCCGCGCCAGTTCCTCTGCCCGCTTTGCAAGTATGCCGCCTCCAAGAAATGCAACCTGCAGTACCACATCAAGTCCCGGCACTCGGGCTGCGACGTGGACCTGGACGTGTCCAAAGTCAAGCTGCGCATCAAGAAACCCGGTCCCGATGGTGCCGACGAGGACTCTGATGCCAAACGAGACACGTCGGAGAACCAGTCCGGCATCGAGGAGGACGTGGAGGAGGACGTGGACATGGAGGATGACTCCAGCCCCATCAATCTGTCCGTTTGGAAGACCAGCGCCGACCCAAGTGAAACTGCCGAGAACCCGGACGTCCCGTCTGAGAAGGAGAAACCACCAAAGGTCAAAGAGGTGGAGAAGAAGGTCACGACTAGGCAGAAGAAGGTCAAGGAGAACTTTAAAGACGCTGCAAATACCGACGGCAAGGCAAAGAAACGAGTCAARAAGCTTCCGGCTGTCCAGAACCAAACAGAGGACCCCAAACCCCTCAAAGACCAAGCCGAGAAGGAGGGTTCTGACCCGCAACCACCAGAAGAACCCATCCCCGAGAAGGAACCTCAGAAGAGCGACAACAAAACCCTCAGCAAGACCAGGAAGTCTGGTTCTAATAGGTCCAAGAAGAGTCCAGAGTCACAGAAACCCAACGGTTCTGACAGAAAACCCAAAGTGAAGGGGGTCAAAGAAAAGCCTGCCAAGAGGAAAGGATCCGAAGCTTTGGATCTGTCCGAAAAGTCCTCTAAGACCCGGCGTCTGAAAGCTCCTGAGAAGCTGCCATCCAAACCTGAAGACGCCGACAAGAAACTCGAGTCCGGTCCAACAGAACCGCCCATTAGARCCAAGCCTGTCAAGCAGGGTAAGACCAGAACCTCCAGCAAGAAAGCCTCAAAGAAAGACCTGACAACCTTTGAGACCAGTGAGGTCCTGGAAAGTTCTGATCAGCCAACAGGAAGCGGTCCCGCTCAGACGGCTGAAGTGACCCCACCAGAACCCAGACTTCCTGACCAGCCCGACAGTTCCCGAGCGGACCCGTCAAGCCCGACCTTCGTCAAACCCTCGCCGCCAYCCCGGCTGGTGCTCCCGGGTCAGCGCGGCAAGCCGGCTGAGCCTGAGGACGACGAGGGCATCCACAGCAGCCACGAGGGAGGAAGTGACATCAGCGACAGCGCCTCGGAGGGCAGCGATGACTCGGGCCTCAACGGGAACGGCGCCGGCCCGGCCAAGACAGCCGACGACCCGGAGACGCCCACCGACGAGATCCCCACGCCAACGGAGCTGAAGGGCCACACGTGCATTTTCTGCGACCGCACCTTCCCGCTGGAGGTGCAGTACCGCCGCCACCTGAACCGCCACCTGGTCAACGTGTACTACCTGGACGCCACGGCTCAGAAATAGGACTGGTGTCCAAATTTAAAATCACGTCCATGTTTCAGTGGCCACAAGAGACGAGGCCATGCAGACGGCCCGTCTCTGTCGTGTTTTTTTTTTACTTCCTGACAACCAGATGAACTTCCTGAGAGGGGTCAGATACCAGAGCGATGATGATGATGTGTTGGATCTTTTTTTTTTTCAGTGTAAATATTTATGTGCAATATTCCCCTGTAGTTGAGATGCCAAAGTGTTTTTTTTTTTTTTTTTTTTATGTTTGTTATGAAACATAAAATAAACTCCATCAAATGTTGGTTCTTTGTGTCTGAAGTTTCTTCAGTTCATCATTGGTCTTTTCCTTCTATACTTACTGTAAATTAAAGTAGCGGTTCTTATGGACCGTTATAAGGGGCAAACTATACTGCACAACCAGTGGTTGTTACGTCCTGGTAGCTGGAGGCTATATCTATTCCTGAACCAGTTATTGAGCTGATTAATGATAGACCGGCACCGCTAACTGAGCAGCTGGAGCAGGTAAATGAGAAGGAGACTATTCATTTGTGTTAGCATCAGAGAAGCTAACAACTAGCATTTACTGTATAAGCTGGTGCTAGCATCAGAGAGGTTAGCAACTAACATGGATAAGCTGGTGTTAGCATTGGAGAGACTAGCAGCTAGCATAGATAAGCTGGTGTTTGCATCAGAGAGGCTAGCAACTAGCATGGATAAGCTGGTGTTAGCATCAGAGAGGCTCGTGACTAGCATGGATAAGCTAGTGTTAGCATTGGAAAGGCTAGCAACTAGCATGGATAAGCTGGTGTTAGCATCAGAGAGGCTCGTGACTAGCATGGATAAGCTAGTGTTAGCATTGGAAAGGCTAGCAACTAGCATGGATAAGCTGGCGTTAGCATCAGAGGGGCTAGTGACTAGCATGGATAAGCTGGTGTTAGCATCGGAAAGGCTAGCAACTAGCATGGATAAGCTGGCGTTAGCATCAGAGGGGCTAGTGACTAGCATGGATAAGCTGGTGTTAGCATCGGAAAGGCTAGCAACTAGCATGGATA